CAAAAAAAAAAAAAAAAAAAAAAATCTCATGAACAAAGTGTTAGCAAATCAAATCAAGCAATTCATTAAAAATACAGTATGAGTATGGGTGCAGTGGTTCATGCCTGTAATCTCAGCATTTTGGGAGACCAAGGTGGGAGGATAGCTTGAGCCCAGGAGTTTGAGACCAGCCTGGGCAACAGAGGGAGACCGTGTCTCTAAACAAATTTTTAAAAATTAGCTGCGCTTGGTGGCTCTTGCCTGTAGTCCCACCTACTCAGGAGGCTGAGGAGGGAGGATCACTTTAGCCCAGGATTTCAAGGTTATGGTGAGCTGTGATTGTACCACTGCACCCCAGCCTGGGTGATACAGTGAGACTCTGATTCAAACAAACAAACAAACAAACAAACAAACAAACAAACAAACAGTATGACAGGTTGAGTTAACCCTAGGAAGAAAAGGATAGTGTAAATTAGAAAATTTGTTTAGCCAGGCGCGGTGGCTCATGCCTGTAATCCTAGCACTTTGGGAGGTGGAGACGAGAGAACTGCCTGAGCTCATGGGTTCAAGACCAGCCTGGGCCACTTGGTGAGACCTCATCTCTACAATAAACAAACAAACAAACAAAAGCCAGGCGTAGTGGTGCACACCTGTGCTTACAGCTGCTTGGAAGGCTGAGGCGGAAGGATCACCTGAGCCCAACAGGTCAAGGCTGCGGTGGCTGTGAGCGTGCCACTGCACTCCAGCCTGGGTGACAAAGTGACACTCCGACTCGACTCAAAAAAAAGAAAATTTGTTAATATATGTCATCACATTAAAGGATTAACAGATAAAAAGTTTCAACTGATGCAAAAAGAGTATTTAATAAAACTAAATACTCATTTATGGTAAAATGTCTCTTGAAAAGAGGAACAGGAGGAAATTTCCTATCTCCCTATTTACCAAAAACTAAGCATTGGTTTTCATGGTAGCAACATTAGAAGTAGTTCCTCTAAAGTCAGGGAAAGAGAAGACAAAGATGCCTGCTATTGATCATGATCTCTTCTAGGAAGCTAATTAACATCTTATTAAATATACATTCCATACCAGCAAGCAGACCACTTAAATGTGTTGTGATCATCTCATATGTACCTAATTGCCCCCTACTTGGAAAGTAAGTTCCTTGAAGGTGCCCATGCCTCATACTTCTTTTGTATTTCTATAGCATTTTCAGCATTACATTTAGCACATTAGCCATATAGAAAACACATTTGATTGAATAACATCAAAAAATGGCTCCTAAAGTAATTTTCCTGTTTATAGAAGTTATACATCTGCATTTCAGGGAACCTGAACAATTCAGAAAATATAAAGAAAAAATTTAAAAAATCCCAATCTCTCTTGCCAGGGATAACCACTATTGATATTTTGGTGAATTTTTCTTCTCTGCACATTTTAACATAGTAGAGCTCACACTCTTTAGGTGCAATTTTGTACCTTTTTATTATTTTTTAATTTTAGTTTAATTTTTTTTTTGAATTGGAGTTTCACTCTGTCGCCCAGGCTGGAGTGCAGTGGCACGCTGATGGCCACCGCAGCCTCGACCTACTGGACTCAGGTGATCCTTCCACCTCAGCATTCCAAGTAGCTGGAACTATAGGCCCGTGCCACCATGCCTGGCTAATTTTTTTTTAGTTATTGTAGAGATGAGGTCTCACCAAGTTGCCCAGGCTGGTCTTGAACCTGTGGGCTCAGCCAATCCTCTCACCTAGGCCTCCCAAAGTACTGAGATTATAGGTGTGAGCTACTGCGCCCGCTCCCCCCCCCTGCTTTTTTAATAGAAGCAGTGCCTCATGACAATAATTTTTAATGGTTACATGATACTTAATATTGTAATCTACTTGAACACTAATAAACAATAATAGGGGTATTATTGGATTTTTAAGTCATTTCTATAAATGATGATATTTTTGTACAAGCATATTTTTCTGTATTTTAGATTATTTTCTTAGGATAAGCCATGATGGTGTTGGAGGCCATTTGTTTCTCTCAAACATTACTTGTAACCCTCAAAAGACACTGATATCCTGTCCTTCTCCCTTCTCTCCAACTTCTAGTTTATCTACAGAAGAAAAAGTAGAAGAGACGGGGAAGAGAAATCGAAATATATTAAGAGTGGACTACTGTAGGCGGAAATCAGATCCAAGGAAGTTCTTAAGTAAGCTCTTTTCTCGCCTGGCCCTTCCTATGGACTCCCCTCCCCATCTCCCTCTCCTGTCTTTTCCAATAGCTTCTTCTTTTTCCTCTAGAAAACCACTTGAGTAAAGGGAATTCTTACCACAGCATTTCTAAGTTCTTATATTTTGTCTCAGTATAAGGCTCTTTGGGTTGTTTCTTATGTTCATTTGATCCACGAACATTTATGCTATAAACAGACAAAGAGCCTTTCTGGCTCAGGGGCGCATGTCTCTTGGAAAGTTCATTAAGGTTGTTCCAATCCATATTAGAGATAGTGTTGATGTGTAGAGGCTGATATGAAAATCTTTTCTCTTCTTGGTCAATGTATCTTCTTTCTTTATTAACATTCAGCCCTGAGTAATATCCAGTAGAGTTTTTATATAACACCTGATCAAAATCTGGTTTTGGTGGAACAAATGTATTGGAGGTTCCCTTGGAATTCTGGCTCATAAGTGCACTTGAGTCTTGTACATCATCTTTAAAGGCATTCATCATCACAACTGATTCCTGCTTTACTGAAGTATCAATAGGCTTATTTTGGTTTTGATGTTGTCTGGGAGTGTTATTCTGGTTTCCTTGACTGACAACCACTTCTCCAGTCGTGAAAGACTTCAGGTCATTCTGGTGTTTATGCTGTTTTTGAGTCTTGGGCTTGACTGGTTTTCTGGAAGGTTGCTGACCATTCGCTGCTTCAGAAGATTGACCTCTTGGTACCTTGCTTGATTTTGAACTTTCATTTTGAGACCAGTATTCCTGCTGATTCTAAAAAGATATTTTTGGTTAATGTAAAATTAAAAGATTTCACAAATGTTACACAAATGTTAAATTAGTGTTTTTCAAACTAGGGTTGAGAATTCTAGGAAAGTGACCATAGAATTGAAAGCAGATAAAGAAAGAATAAGAGAATTCTTTTCTAATTTCAGTTACTTGGTGCGAATAGCTGAATGATTGATTTCTCCTGGAAATTTAGGATTATGAGCCTAGAAAGAAACAGAGAGTTTAGAATGGGGTTTATATTAGGCACAAGTCTTTGACTTAAAAGTGAAGTGTTGCCAAGTGGTGGGGTAGGCTGCAGGGGAGAAAGAAGCTTTACTGCTAAAGAGATGCATACAAAGAAAGTACAAATACAAATCTACATCAAAATATGCTTGCTTATGTTAAGTAACATGAATATTTCTAAAAATGTTAACCATAAAATGCTAATAATTTGCTTTACCAACCAAGTACAAGTTTAATATGAAATGCAATTCAGATTATCAGATCTTTTTACTCGTACTGGTCAGAAGCTAAAAATGACCTCTTCACCAGATGAAACAAATTAGATTTTATTCAGGAGATTATAAAAGAGTCTGTGCTGTGATAGGACATCTGTGAAACCACAAGAGTTGTTTTGCTTCTGTTCCTTAATAAAGCCTGCACTTAGGCAATCAAACATCTGGGGGAAATATTTCAATTTCAGAACAGTCTTTATGCTTTTCAAAGTCTCGTAACAACAAAATGTACTCCTGGTATAATAGATACACTATGTAACTATATTGTGCTATAGCCATTTAGAAATATTTTCCAAGGAATAAAGCACTCATTACTTTGTGAAAAACTAGCTGAGTTAAGAGGCCTTTGGAAAGACTGATTAAATGCTTATTGAAAACAGTAAGATGGCCATATGCATCAGTGTGTTATATAACTGCAACATAGTTCTTCCTTTCTGAACACACATATAAAAAAAAAACAACTATGGCCTGTATCTATGCAACATTAGTTGAAAATGCAACAGTTAGCCAGATCATTCAAGAAAAAAAAAAACCTTAAAGTGAATAAATCATGTTTTTCCTCAAATTGATTGTATTAGCTTGCAATGAAGAGTCAGCAAATTATTGTGATAAGGTCAGCTTTTATTTCATTTTTCTGATACAATCACCAAGACTCACCCTATTCTTGTATGATATTAGGTGGCATTTTATTTTTAATGAAATCATATTATAATGATAGAATTGAGGTTGTAGATTTAAAAGAGTAATATACAATATAAGTTCTACCAGCTTTTTTTTCTTTTTGAGTTGGAGTCTCAATCTGTCGCCCAGACTGGAGTGCAGTGGCTGCTCCCGGCCACCGCAGCCTCGCCTGCTGGGCTCCGGTGATCCTTCTGCCTCAGCCTTCCAAGTAGCCGGAACTACTGGTGCGCGCTACCACGCCCGGCTGATTTTTTGATTTATTGTAGAGATGAGGTCTCGTTGCCCAGGCGGATCTCGAACCCGCGGGCTCAGGCAATCCACTCACCTCAGCCTCCCAAAGGCGCGGGATTACAGGCTGAGCCACCGAGCCCGGCTCTACCAGCTTTTAAAGAATGACTTCTCATTTGAAATTTAGAGTATGTTCTCCTGAAAACTTGAGTCTTCTGGGAAAGTGGCCAGGCCCTGATTAGCTCCCACATGCTTTCAAGTTTTACCTGTGGTACTCAAAATAATAATAATAATGATAATAATAATAAGTAAAGTAAAACTTCCTTTCCTGTATTACAGGTAAGAAAAGGTTCTTCCTTCTCTGCTGTATATTGAGCTGCATGGGGGAAACATGGGCAAGAAGCCTCTGCAAATATTTGGCTCCGAGAGCATCATTCCTTGTAGTGACTCCAGAAGAAGATTGCTGTTTTACAGTCTTTTTTGTTTTTGTTTTTGAATCGGAGTCTCACTCTGTCACCCAGGCTGGAGTGCAGTGGCATGCTCACGGCCACCGCAGCTTCGACCTACTGGGCTCAGGCAATCCTTCTCCTCAGCCTTCCAAGTAGCTGGAGCTACAGGCATGCACCACCATGCCCAGCTAATTTTTTAACTTATTGTAGAGAGGAGGTCTTGCCAAGTTGCCCAGGCTGCTCTCGAACCTGTGGGCTCAGGCAATCCTCTCATCTCAGCCTCCCAAAGTGCTGGGATTATAGGCATAAACCACTGCTCCCTGCCTGTTTTATAGTCTTATGGACAAGTCTGTGAAACACCGCAACTCTCTGTCATGTGTGGTGGCTTACACCTGTAATCCCAGCACTTTGGGAGGCTGAGGTGGGAGGATTGCTTGAACCCAGGAATTTGAGACCAGCCTGATCCAAGACCTTGTCTCTATAAAATAGTAAAAAATGAGCCAGGTGTGGTGGTGCATGCCTGTAGTCCCAGCTACTCAGGAGGCTGAGGTGGAAGGACCATCTGAGCCCAGGAAGTTGAGGATGTAGTGAACTGTGATTGTGACTGCACTCCAGCCTGGGTGACAGTGAGACCCTGACTCAAAAAAATAAAAATAAAAAAGTAAAAATAAATTTAAAAATAAACAAAAAGGCTGTCATCACTTTGTGAATGACAAAAAAGTCCCTCCTTCCTATGACTTATAAATATTAATTGATGCTGATATTGTCATTCTTTTCTTTTCTTTCTTTCTCTTTCTTTTTTTTTTTGAGTTGGAGTCTCATTCTGTTGCCCAGGCTGGAGGGCAGTGGGACGCTCCTCGCCACCGCAGCCTCGACATGCTGGGCTCAGGCGATCCTTCTGCCTCAGCCTTCCAAGTAGCTGGAACTACAGGCACTTGCCACCATGCCTGGCTAAATTTTTGATTTATTGTAGAGATGAGGTCTCGCCAAGTTGCCCAGGCTGGGTCTCGAACCCATGGGCTCAGGCGATCTTCTCACCGAGGGTTCCCAAAGTGCTGGGATTCCACCACACCCAGCCATGTCATTCTTTTCAATATTTGTTCGGTCTTTAAACTGCTAGAGATATAAGTGCCCAGGATCCTGTCATATAAATATACTTTCCCTAGTTTTCTCTCCTCATTTTCACCAAAAAAGAAAAAGTCTATTAGAAATTTCTTTTCTTGGGCACCAGATCAGAAATCCTGGGTTACACTTGATTTTAATCATTTTATTGCCTTTGCTGCTGACAGTTCTGATCACAATAGTACTCTTCACAGGGTGCTTTGTCAACAAGGCCAAGGACTCATCATTTTATGAAACTTCAATTGTCTCAAGTGTTAAATCTGCTATTCACGTAAGTTTAAGTGCCCAGAGATGACATTTCAGTTCCAGGAAAGGAAGGCATTTATGGGCTTGATATGATTTTTCTCGCCTCCCAAGCAGCCTACTTAAGATCCACGGTTTACTGAAGATTTATTACCTTACAATTGGGGCATCAGGTGTCACTCTTTAGGTGGCAAGACCCAGTTCCCTGAAGTTAATATACAAAGCCATTCTTAGGTGATTTAATCTCCATCAGCACTGAAATCCTCCATTCCATTCTGTTCTCGCTGGGGGTCTTTTGTTACCAACACAGGCAATCAGTACATACTACATACACTCAGAATAACTGCTTAATGGCAGTAGGTTTTCACGTCACACACAGAGCGTTAGCATGGGGGAATCCTGATGCTTAACGCTGAGATGATAATTTCTTAGCAAGACCATCCTTGGTTACTCATGTTCTTTCACACTGTGCCATCCAAGGGAAGTTTGCCCCCAGTCCTGTGAAGGGCAGCACCTGGCTGTTTCCCTTTTATGGCTTTCCTGTTCACATGTCATAAGCAGAAGGGGGAATGCATGCAGTGATCCCAATCAAAAAGTTCTGCTTTAACACAAAAGCCACTCTTGCTCTTTGGTAACCCAACTCAACTGTGGGATCCTGAGAGTTGGGCCTGGGCTCTGAGATCAGCTTTGATCAAGAGAAGTTTTTTGTTTTGTTCCATTTTTCTGATGTGTTTATGAACAATACACCATGCGTACTGTGAGCTTGGGTTACACATTTCATCTGATGATATTAAGAAAATTTTGAGCACAATTAATTGGCTCTAATTTCCACTGTCGGTAAGGAAGAACTCTTGTGTTCAGATGAATAGAAGCAATGTAGATCTATTGATGGTGTTGGAGGCAAAACTAAATGGACAGATCTTTGAAAAGGTAGGAAGATTACTTAGGATGTGATTACAAGGACTTGCACATCAATTAGTGAAAGTATCTTTCACACTATCATTATGTTTTCTTGGCCTGGAAAGTCAAGTTATTTTAGAGAGGTTAGAAAGAAAACATCCTATTTTATTCCTCTGAAGCCTTACTAAATTGGGGGATTTTTATTTTTTCTACTAACAACATGTTCCTTGCCCAATGGTAAGGAGTGAATGTGTAGTTTATATCCTCCCAAAATTCATATGTTAAATCCTAACCTCCAAGCTGGTGATATTTAAAAGTGGTACCTTTTGCGAGGTGATTAGGTCATGAGGGCAGAGCCGTCAAAATGGGATAGTATCCTTAATAAACACAGTCCAAGGGAGCCCTTTTGACCTTTCCACCATGTGAGGACACAGCAAAAAAGATGCCATCTATGAACCAGGAAGTGGCCCTCACCCAGAACCCAGACATGAAAATTGCTGGGGTCTTAACCTTGGATTTCCAGCCTCCAAAACTGTGAGAAAATAAATTTTTCTTTCTTTTTTTTTTTTTTGAGTTGGAGTCTCACTCTGTCGCCCAGGCTGGAGTGCAGTGGCATGCTCACGACCACTGCAGCCTCAACCTGCTGGGCTCAGGCGATCCTTCTGCCTCAGCCTTCTAAGTAGCTGGAACTACAGAAGTGCATCACTATGCCCAACTAATTTTTTTTTAATTGTGGAGATAAGGTCTCACCAAGTTGCCCAGGCTGGTCTCAAACTCCTGGGCTCAGGCTATCCTCTCGCCCTGGCCTCCCAAAGTACTGGGATTGCGGGCTTGAGCCACTGCACCTGGCTTGAGAAAATAAATTTCT